ATTTATTTGTTTGTTTGTTTGTTTGTTTGTTTACTTGCATGCTTCTTTACTTATTTACTAGGGTGGAACATAAAGCAAAGATTAAACATCTGTATTATTTGGATGAGTATGCTTTAGATCTACAATGTTCATAAATGTTGTACTGACAGGGGCAAAGAACATTTATTTATTTGTTTGTTTGTTTGTTTGTTTGTTTACTTGCATGCTTCTTTACTTATTTACTAGGGTTTATATGACACTCTAATCCAGGGAGACTCAGAGAGGCTTACAAAACACTCTCCAGCAGGAGGATTAAAAACAGCACATCAAAACAACCAACAGAAGAAGAAGATGAAACAACAGATTACAATTCAATAAACTGTGTCCAAAAGGAATAAGCAAACTATAACAAAGTTATGACGTTTTCGCCACAATTCCCCACCCCAAGCCCATAGGAATAGCCAGATCTTAAGGGGTTTCTAGAATACAGTATTAACAAAGAAGGACCTGGTTTAATCTCAGGGGAGGGGAGATGAAAAGTCTCATCCTGAGGACTATGCATTTGTGTGAAGGCCTGCATAGCCAAGGTTGCTACCTGTTCCCTGAGCAGGAGTGAGAGTCCAGAAGGACCCGCAGATTACTAACCAGTTCTGCCTGGGATAACACCACCCTATCCAGAACCAAAGAAACACCTTCCTGGGATTAAATTTAAACCTGTTCTTCCCCATCCAGACCATGACAGCCTCCAGGTAACAGGACTGGATTTCAACCACATCTCCTGTTTGGCCCCAGGTTGAGAGTACATGTTCAATACACTAACAATATCAAATGCTGTTCCTGTAGGTGGTGTCCCCGAATGGCTTCCTATCAATATTAAACAGCAGGGGTGAGAGTTTTATGCCTTGTAGCACCCCACAAAAGATGGCTCTAGGATAGGGCCTCTCCCCACGCCCCCCCCCCCCGGACTGGAACCTTCCTTTGGGAAGGAGAACATTTGTAAAATTATGCCCCCAACATGTAGCCCAGAGAGGCAGTCCAAAAGATATTAAAAAGTGGCATTAAAAGCCACTGAGAGTTCCAGCAGGAACAAGAGACTTACACTATCCTACCCCCACCAAGCTTATCCACAAGAGTGATCAGTATGGTTTCAGTACCATGCCCCGGCCTCAACCTTTCATGTCTCTCAAGGATGCATTAACACCAGCCTCCTGTTACATCCCTAGAGGAACACGGGGATCCAGACTACAAGGGGCAGAGTTGACATCACAGAGAACTGTAAACACTTCCTCAGGACCAACAGGCTCACACTCTTCCCAGATAACCCTGTAAAATGTAACTTCAGGCACCTCCACAAAACTGATCTAGTGGTGCCCTGCTCTGAGGAAAACTGACAATTTTATCCTTGAGATGTCTGGCAAATTCTTCCCAAAGCCCAGTAGTTGTTTTTCCATCCTCCCATAAGAAGGATAATTCAGGTAATTTTAAAGAGGGTTGAGGAATGACAATCTGAGGATAGAGTAAAAGTGGCATTTGGCCACTCTTATCACTACAGTGTAGGCTCAGACCTCAGCTGTTACCCATGTCTGATCACATTTGTTTTTTGTCTTATTCCAGCAGGTGGAATTCTATTCCGCAGCCACTTTATTTCCCATAGCACCTTGGTAGGCTGAGTTTCCTGGGATCTGTAGGCTGGGAGAGGCTGTTTGGGTGTACTCCTGTCTAAGGCTGTTCTCACCCTTGTATTCCAGGTGGCAACTAAGGCCGCAGCAAAACTGCCCACCAAGGTCTCAGGAAACTCCCCAAATGTTTTCTGGAAATTATCTGGAGCATTGGGTGGACTGATTCAATAGTTCCCTTCTCCCTCAAAGTTGGTGGCATCAAATAGCAATCAAACAGTGATCTGACCATAACAAAAGACAGACACTGACCATTAGACCATGTTGTATCTGCTCAAGACAAGAACTAGAGCTATGTATGGCCTCCTGCATGGGTTGGGGCCATGATGACTTAGTGTGGTGGCATGAACTCCCAGACCACCTTGGAAGGCCCCTGCATTTTCTCAGGGAAAGCAAGGAGGGTCAGAATCATAAACCCATACAGGAATATTCCAGTTCTTCTGGACTGTACTTCGTGTGTTGAACAGCTATTTGCTAGGAAGGGGAAAAACGGTTTACCCATTAAAAAAAAAAAGGAGGCTTTATTTCATGCTGACTAGGAATTCTAAGGGTTAATCTGCAGGGCACCTGGTTGGGAAAGTTTCTCTAACTCTCTTCTCTGTGAAAACACAAGAACAATTGTGTTCTTGGAGGCTGTGGGGGCCTGGAGGCTGTGGGGGCCTGGATGGGGGACAACAGGCTTCAGCTGAATCCTGGTAAGAC